TTTTAAAGATGGTGATTATATGATTTTTTTAAAATAGATTTTCTGTATGTTGTAATCCTTTTGGAACAATGACAGAATATGCAGCATATACCTTTCTAAAAAGAAAATAAAAAGAAATAATACCCCCCCCCCCATCTCATCTATATTGTGCTTAAAAGATTCTCTAAAATTTATGTACAATTTTGTACTTGCTGATTCTGGTAAAAATCCTCATGTGTGCTATAGATGTTAACTATAGTTAACCTATTTCCGAAAGCCATTTGTAAATTAAGCTATCATTTTAGTGTATTGAGATCTTTAAAATATAACGTGTGATAGGAATATTTTCTTACAATAGCTGAGAAATTAAATTGCCCATAGCATTCAAACCGCTGACAAAACTATCAATATTTGCACTAGAACATGTTATATCCAACCTGAATATGAAAGATTATGATTCTGTGAATCATGAGCCTGTATAATATTTCTTTTTCCTAATAAAAATAGCACCAGTCACTTATTTCAAGAAAGCTCTTTTTCAAACATCTACTCAACTGTAAATAAGGAATACAATATGTGTGAACAATCTACTCTGGGACCATCTTTCCTAGATCAGTGACTCTAATGTCCAATGCCATATTGACCATCAAATAGGACCAGCACTCTATTACTGTAAGAAATGGAGAAAGAGAATGCCCTACCAAGCAAACATTTCTGAAGCTTTGTAGAAAAAAACGAAGGAACTGAAAGATGATTGCTCCTCCAACGATCTCCTGCTTCAGTGATGTTCTCTTGCTATATATGCACTTCAAATCATAATTAATTTGCCATGGAAAGTAATGTTAAGAAATGCAGCATTTATATCTATACAATCTAGCTAAAACTGAAGTATTTGGATATATTTTGATGATAATGATAGGACACAAATCCCAAAATGTATGAGTTTATATACCCAGAAGTACAAAAACATTAAAAATAACATTAAAATGTCATTTTTATTATTAAACTTTTATCTCACTTTTTCATGTATGACTAAGGCAATGAACTTACCTAATTATTATGACTAAAACAGCTATTACATTTACTAATATTATACTAAATTATGATGATGACACTTGAACCTCCAGAAGTTGTCAAAACCTATTATTTTTCACTTAGACATTAATACACCATTTTTAAATTATGTTGCATTAAAAATAAAATATATAATTCTACCACTGCCTACATCCTTCATTGGATAAAAACAATGAATTTTTGGCATTTAAAAGGTTTATCTTAGTAGTATCGCCAGTTGCACCACATATGGGTAACCTTGACTTACAACCATTAATTTAGCAGTCGTTTGAAGTTAAAATGGCACTGAAAAAAGTGACATGACCGTTTTTCACAATTACAGCTGTTTCAGTATGCCTTAGTCATGTGATCAAAATTCAGTCGCTTGGCAACTCACATGTATTTAGGGTAGTTGTAGCACCTTGAGGTCATGTGATCACCTTTGCACCTTCTGACAAGCAAAGTCAATGGGAAAACCAGATTCACTTAAAGACCATGCAACTTAACAACTGCAGTGATTCACTTAACAACAATAGCTTGTAAAATGGGTCAAAACTCAATTAACAATTATTTGCTTAGCAACAGAAATTTTGGGCTCAATTGTGGTCGTACGTCAAGGACTACTTGTACAAATTTGTGTTAAATCTCATACCTTTAAGGTTTGACTATTTTTCCTTACTTAGCCTTTTCTTTATGGCCACCCTGCTTCCCTAGCCAGAATGAACCAATACAACTGTTTGCTGTACAGCATGAAAAATGAATAAAATAATATTGATTTTAAATTACTCAGCAGTATCCTGAAATATCCTAAAGCGGCATATTTGACTGAAAGTTGCCTTGCTGTACAATATTATATAAAAGCACAGCTAAGCATCAGACAAAGTTGTTAGCTGAAATCCACTATAGACAATTATTGGTGAATTAATCATAATGTACTTAATATAGGAAACATTACAGTTTAAGCATTTATTGCTTTAGTTGATACATATAAAAAGTCTTTCCTGTAAAATGCCATTTAACTAGTTCGGTCTGGTTTGGTAAACTAAACATGAAGTCAGATGTGACCCGACAAATGCGCGCCCGACAACAGCTCACCGACAAAACTGCGGTGATAAAACCGCGATGTTGACAGCGTGCCGACGAATGAGCACAGAAGCGCACCAACGAAAGAGCACTGACAGAAGCGCCATTATGGTTAAGGTAAGGGTTAGGGTAAGGGTAAGGGTTACATTTAGGTTCAGGGTTAGGTTTAGGGTTAGGTTTAGGGTTAGGTTAGGATTAGGTTTAGGGTTACCTTTAGGGTTAGGTTTAGAGCGCGCTTCTGTCGACGCGCTGTTGTCAGTGCGCTTCTGTGCTCATTCGTCGGCACGATTTCGAACTCGCGCTTTTCTCCCCGCGGTTTTGTTGGCGCGCTTTTGTCAAGCGCGTATTTGTCGGTGAACCGTCAGATAGAAAGGGATGTGAGATCTGACAGATTTTTGTCAGAGTTTGTCTTATAACCAATATCCCAATTTTTTGCATGACTTGGGGTACCCTCTGAATATTTAATTTAACTAATATAATAATCAGGCAACATATCATCTTCTTTGAATTACTCAATGTAAATGAATGAACACATTCTAATAATGTAATCTTGTCTCCAGAGGGGACACAAAATATAGCCCTGGAATGCTACTTTGGTCTGTGAATTAAAATATATTGTCATTTAGATGGAAAAAGGCATCAGAAATTCAGTTTTAATTACATTAGATAGATTTGGTTAGATTTGGTTAGAAAACCCCCTGATTTGGGGCAAATGGACTTGGTCACTGCCAGGCTATATAAAGCTTATGGCATGCCAGGACAAACCAATAGATCATTAATAAATGCTTTTTCACTAAAATAATTATCACTGGCTAAATTCTCTGAGGGTTGGAAACTAAAAACCTCATTATCTCGGAAAGATAAACATGCCGATGAAAAGTTAAAGCTGAACATTCTCTAATTCCACAAACAAAAATAAGGACAAAGGTTTACTTTCTGTTTCTTATTTTATGCATATGGCCAAAAACTGTGGGAGGAGACCCAGTGCAAAGAGAGAAAACTGATTATGTGGGAAAGTAAAAACAAATATTTTTAGCACTGACTAAACCAATAACACAGGTACATTATGACAGAAGGGAAATTGAAAGAGTAATCTGCAAATAAATCAAGAAACCAAAAGCTATCAAAATCTTCAAAACTTTACAGGGGAAAAATACATTCAAGCTACATGTTGAGCTTTGTAACATTATCTGCAATCTCTAGATCCTGGGAATAAGCTATTTTTTTTCAGTTATGGCAGATATGCTGCCTTCATTCATAATTCTTCTCAATTCTATTGTTTCAAAGAAGCTGAAGTGAAATTCATCTCCAAGCCTTTTGCAAAGAAACTGTCCTACGTTGAGACTAGGAGTGCAATAGGCCATAAGTACTGAGTACTGCTTTGCTTTCTATGCATTGCAAAGAAATACATAAATGCAGAATATATTGTTCAGCCCCTGACTCTGAACATGGTATGTTCCCAGTGACCAGTGTATATTCAGCACTGGATTCACACAAAGACATTAGAATTAACAGTCCATTAACATTAAAATATGTCTTCAATGTTGATTTAAGAGCTTCTTAAACAGGAACATATTAATAGGCCAGAAGAGAAGAGGATGTTATGTCCTATTCCAAGTGGATCAAGTAAAAGTAACTGATTTGCATCACAGAATCACAAGGTTGGAGAGGACCTTGTTAGACTAGGTATCACAGGAATGATGAAATCCTTCGTTTATTATTCATATCTATTTATGTGATAAGTTAGCAGGCATGATCAAACTAGTACTCCCTATTTTCTGGTATGGTACTTACATTATCTGAACATTTCTTTTTAAGTTTATGTGGTTATTTTCAAACTAATAGTGGATTTTAATTCCAGCTAGAGGATTAAACTGCTCAGAGTTGGCAGGCTGGCCTATAAGGCCTTAAACATAATATATACGTACTTAAACAAATTAGGCCATTTATTCCACCTCTTTCCCAAAGTGAATGTAAGCCGAAGTTCTAGATCATCCTTTCATGCTTTTTCAAGTGCTTTTGACTTGAAGGCAAAAAGATGCTTTTGCAGTAAATGAATAATCCTGGAAAAGGCATAACTACTTTAAGGAGTTACGGACCAATGCTACTATATTCACTTCAAGGCCGTTTTTTGCCTTCTGGTCCAAAGTGTGACATAACCCTATCACTAATACATATCTATTTTCTGATTAGATAGCAATGATGTGCAAAATGTTCAAGGGGTTGTTTGCAAAGTCATTAAAGTCGAGGCAGCTTTGAATGGGCTTTCCTGTGTCACCTCTGAGTGCAGGAACAGGCACAGGCCTTTTGTTGCTAATCTCTGTACTGTATATGTACGTGAACAACCTGAAAAAGCCTTTGAAGAGCTGGAGGATGGCTGTTGGAAGACAACCTTCTTCTGGCGGAGGAGGCTGGCCCATTTGAAGATTCCCTTCAAATCCATGCACAGACTCATTAGAGGCATTCTCCCCACAGTTTCTTGGGTGAGAAGCAAAACGTCTTAAAAAAAAAATCAGAAAGTCCTGTTGCCTCTTTAAAAAGCACCTTTGGGATAACCATGACTTGGATGACTGAAAATTTCCATAGAAATGCCTGTTTCTTTTTCCATTATTGGCATTTGATTGAAATGGGAGGCCACAGCAATTAAATTAATAAATTTCCATGATTTTTAGATATGTACATGTACTTTGACATACTGATGGGGATTTGAAGGGAGAAGGGATTTTTCAATGTTCAAACAAACATGGGAATATAAACCTCTCTTCAGCATATATAAGAATAATTCAGAATCTGCTTATATTAAGTTTCATAGTTGCTATGGTATTAGACTGAAATTGAAATCAATACAAGGCACACAAAGATCTTCCTCCAGAAACACCATCATATAACCCAAATTTTTTATTACCTTTTCTTCTGAATCTCCTGGCTGACAAGTGATAACCCCATCTCTTGAACCCCCTGAAAAAGTTGCCTTGCAGTTTGCCAGCCACTGTTTGTAAAAAACAATATATATGTATATATGTGTGTACATACATACATACACAAACACACCCAACACATATTTATATAGGCATTAGCACAGAAGACATACACTTTCAGTTTTTCAAAAATCATACTTTTGAGATAATATATATTTTACTGAATTTCTAAATATTTTCTGGAATAAATCTAAGAAAGGATGCATTACATTACTGAATATAAAATTCTTGAATGAAAATGTAGTAGATACTACATTGTAACTTAATCAAATTTAATCACATTATGATAACTCCAATCCCTAAAGTCTTGTTTACTTCCTAAAATGTTTTAAGTTTTTAAAATTAAAATCTTTAACATACAGTATATTCTGAGAATAATGAATATACATCAGCATTAACTAGCTCTGTGTTCTCCAAAAAATGGTTTACTGATGAACTAAATTTCCTTTCAGATTTTATATTTAAAAGTAAGACAAAATCAACATAAGACAAAACATAACGATCATGCTTACAGAAAGTGTTGCTTCTTTTCTGTTATTATATGTATCCAAGTATTCTTGTAGTTCTAAGACACTAAACTTTAATTTCTCTAGAAGCCCACAAGAGAGAAGCTGGAAAAAAATAAAGATGCTTCAGTGAACATTGTTTCTTTCAAAGACTGGTAAAATTGCTCTCATTGAGTAATGAAAATCAGCAGGGACGATCCCATAAGAATTAAACTCTGGAATGGTCATGAAGAATGGCTTTGTCTGAGGCACAGTGCTTCATGTGAGATCAGATGTGGCAGAGAAACTCTCTGGTCTAGCTCAGGCCTGTTAAACTGGCAGCCTGCAGCCCAGATAAATCACACACAGGCCATGCCCACCCAGACTCCGCAAAGACAAAAAAGCAATTATCATGACGTATCGCAATCGAGTTTGACACCCGTGATCTAGCTGATGAAGATTGTCAGTCATCCTGATAAAGTTGTCTTAAGGCTCATGGAAACTAGCCTTATTTTCTTGTTAGTTTGAAATGTTTCACTGCTCATCCAAGCAGTTTCATCAGTCAGAGACAGTTAGTTAGGCAGAAAATCGTTGGAATGTACCAACTCCTCCTGCAACAACCTCTCCTCCTAACAAACTTGCTCTGATTGGTGAAGCTGCTTGGATGAGCAGCGAAACATCTCAAAAATCAAGAAAATAAGTCCAGTTGTCATGACTCAATCTTCAGACAACTTTACCTGGATGGCTGAGAATGTGCACTGACATATTTTAATGCACTTCAAGGAAGAAATGCCTGAGGTTGATGTGGGAGGAGTTGGTACATTCCAAGCAATCTTTGCCTGATTAACTTGCTGTGATTGATGAAGCTGCTTGGGTGACCAGCAAAATGTCTCAGACTAACAAGAAACTAAATCCAGGTGCTGTGATTCAACCTTCAGACTCTAGTTTAGCCTACTTCATGAAGAAAATGGTTTGGAATTTGAATGGTAGCACTTTGGTGATGTAAGTTTACATTTATGGTCTGACATAGTAGTTCATATAAAAACAGATTTTGGTGATTAAGGCATCTGGATAGAAAGTGGGAGTCAGTTCAAGTCCTGCCTTAGGCATGAAAGTTGGATGATGTTGGGCAGTTACTCATTCTGAACCCAACCAACCTCACAGGCTTGTTGTTGTGGGGAAAATGGAGAAGAAAGGTGTGTTGGATATGTTTGCTATCTTCAGTTAATTGTAAAAATAATAATAAAGATGGGATGCAAATAAATTAAAAAAAATAAAAAATATATAATTATGCAGTAAGGCTCCGTATTATGCAATGTATTTCTAATTATCCAGGGAACAGATTTTCAGGAAAACTGACATGCTGATCATGAAAAGATCTGATGAAATTACACATCCACATAATTCTAATTAACATGCTGCTTTTGTGTGATTGCTTATGTAAATATACTCACGGTTTCAGCATCTACAAAAAGGGTAGGACATTCGGAACACGAAGTCAGCATCTGTGATGAGCTCACAAACTTTGAGCCAATTCCTCGCAGATTATCACCGAGATAGCTGGCAGCGTCACAAGTTAGAAAGCAGAATCTTTTTTGAATATTCTGTAAAGTAGAATTACATTTGCTGTAGAATCTAATGCATCTTTAAGTTTCATAGATAAGCAGTTCTTGCATTACGACCATAACAGAGCTTGCCCATTTAAGGTTGCAAATGATGACAAGACCCATCCTCTGTTCTCCCTGATGCAGTTGTTGAAACAAACGTATGGGTTGTTAAGAGGGTACAGGGTTCCTCAGGGGTGAGGGAGGCCCTGAGAAGCCTACTGCAGGCCCAGGCTTGCCTTCCCTAGGCTTCCCAGGCTTCCTCAACCTCAGGCACCCCATTCTCTGCTTCTCGCTCCTTGGGGTCCTCAGAGCCTTTCAGCTTCCTTCCCACCCAGCGACCTGGGGGAGATCAGGCTTGCTGGAGTGTGCAAGCAAGGAGAGGCTGGATGCTACAGCTTGTCTGATCTCCCTTGGGTGAATGAGTTCCTACTTGGCAGGGTGGGATGGGTGAATGCTGCAGAACCCTGTGCTTGGTCATAAGCAACCATACATTTGAAACTGGGTCATAAGTAGCTTTCAAGCCAGTCTGCCATAACTTTGAACAGTTGTTAAGGAACCAGTGGTAAGTCAAGGAGTACATGTAATGATGTTTTTTGTATGATTCAGAATGAAATATGTAACGTAAGTGGGGTATATATTTATGGTCTTAAGGATATATGCATATCTGTAACAGCCTAATTATACACTATTAACTTTTTGTATAGCACAGGTATTTATTAATGTGCTATGCTAGTCTCCTTCCTGCCTGTCCTATTTAGTGGTTGTTACAACTGTATGTTGTGTAGATGACTCCTGTTTTTTCTTCTGGGGCTACTGGGTCTTTTGGTTTAGTTAGGAAGTGTTGGAAAGTTTTGCTTGCTTGTGTGCGATGGTAATGCAATGTGGTTGTACTAGTTTGTGGTTGTTTCTGAAATTTTTTGATGTGTGACAGTGTTATCTTTTTCATAGTATTTATTGGTTGTCCTGTAGTGGGTTGAGTGGTCAGGCACTTTTAGATAAAGTTGTGTGCGTCTCCATTTTTATTGAAATATATTTTATAGGTGGCCTGTTTCCTTTTTCTGGTGTTCTGGGTTGCTGCAGTGTGTTTGTGCTTGTCAGAATAATGTTCTTACACAGTTTCTCTTATGAGAGGTTAGGTTGCTACTTTTGTATATATTTTTTCTATTTCCTTGCTATTTTTTATTTTTTTCTATTTTTATTTCTACAATACTTTTTCTTTTTCTGCACTTTCTACTTTTGTTTTTCTTTTATTTTTGTAGTCTATACTAGTTTTTTTACCTGTTTAACCATAATGTTTAATAAAATCATTATTTAAAAAAAGAGAATCATAGGAGAGGCTTCTAAACATGTACTTATTATATACAAAATTTGTAAGTATTGCTTGAAAAAGTTCTTACACAGAGAGGTTCAGCTGGAAACTATGAGAGTAGAATCTCTTTTTTTCTTCTTCATTGAGATTGTTCTCCCCTAAGAAATACTCTGTTCTAACTGGAAACAACTATTAATAATTTCAGTTTATCATCTGAAAACCATGGTGGGAATTTGTTGTGTTGGATAACAAAACAGAGTTATCAGGGTGTGTTATTACCAAATGAGTATATTATATAAAACAGAACTGTTAAATGGATGTGAGATTTGTTTCATGACTAAACAATTTCAAATGGTTTTCCTGCTAAACAAGATTATTTAAAAGTAAAAGGCTATGTCCCGGCATGATTGTTTCCCAGTAGAGTATTGCTTTTCAATTTCTTCTTGAATGAAGAATTTAATGTTAATGTTAACTAACATTCATCTCGATTTAAGGGTTTTATTATAAAGGACATTGTATATAATGTTCAAAATACTGTAGATGTGTTTGAATATCTACAATTTTGTCTCAACTCTCCTCCTTCCCCAAGTGGTTAGGTGTAACACTGGTACCTTTAATGTTTATTGCAAGTATGCTTTAAAATCCCAGAATGATAATTCTGCTATATTTTCAACAAACTTTACCGAGTCTTCTTGAAGCAATGCAAATGGTTCTCTATTTCAAAACAATAAAAAATTCTATTCTATTCTGTTCTATACTCATTTAAAAGGTCCATGTGAAAGCACCTTTAGGAAGGTTTGAGCACGAGAATTAGGAATGCATAAATTTTGTAAACTAGGGATTTAAAGAATGAAAGATAAGGGAATTTTCTTCTTCTAGACACTTGTACTACAAATTATAAGCTTGTTATATTTACCTAGGATTGATAGTATAGGATTCTAGAACCATTTCCTTACCTTAAACAAGGACGAAAACACATGGAAAGTATAAACAGCACAGGACCCATCTGAGTCACACATAAGCTGGTTGATATGACTACGCCAAGCTTCTTCTGCAGCATCACAGGCAGTAGGTTGAAATGCAGCTAGGATAGCAGAAAAGAATGGGGAAAGTTGGGGTGAAGCAGTGCGATCACCTTCACCAAAACTGTAACAAAGAAAATATCAAAATGTTAGATAGGATAGATAGGGTGTCTAAAAGGTCTTGGTTTTCATACATTAATGAGTTTAATGATTTGACATGAACCGTTTCTTAAACTCTGCCATGTGTACATTTTTTAATTCACCCTGGCATACCTACCATTAAACCTCCGCCTCTTGAAGTTTATGTTACATTTCTAAACATTTCCCCTTAGTTTTATTTTAAGAAATAGTTTTCGTTTATTTGAACCATTTTACTATGCTTTGCTATGCTGTGAATTTTGTTGCGTGCAGTGCACTTTTAGTTTATTAAAAACAAATATAGATAAAACTGCTCTCATACATAAATATATGTATAAA